AGTGAAGTTGCGGCATTTAAGGGGTGAGGCTCAAGTATAAACACAAGGAAAAACAAATAATGAGAATAAATGTCAACCAAAAGGTGGGTTTAAAATAAACATGAGGTTTTACCGCATGAGGAACCAAAAAGGATAACATCTTCATTAAGCAGTAGGTCCACTACAAATTATGCAGCAGTAGGTCCAATACTTCACATCTTCTTAACATAAACAATAACAAATTACGCAGCAATAAGTCTAGTACAACACATTTAATATCTTGCAGACAAAATTATTACAAGCTTAAAAACACACTTGCTTCTATTACACCACTGTCTTAGAAGCGCACCAGCTTCATTAAGCAGCCACACCACACCACATACACATTCTCAAGTAGCACTCTCACAAACCAAAATTACCAAAATGACATAATAGTTGAATGGCATATCACAAATCAAAATTACCACGAACATTATCAGGAGCCTATGTTGAAGAAATGCTATGTTTTTCACAAAATGTCATCTTCCATACTTTTCCATGCATATCAACAGGGCTCAAATTTAATACCTCTATTTTCTACAGTAATCCATTCTCATATACATAAAAAATTATCACACACTTAAATACACTCTTGCTTATTACACAAGCTTCTTACACAAATGTCATATCTTGCAAAGGTAACTAACATCAAAACTATCAAAAAAATATGTAAGTAAATATCCAAAAAAATGTGTAATTACATATCCAAAAATCAATTAGATATCAAATTAAAGGCCAATCATTTGCAAAAATCATGAACACTCCAATCGCCACCATTTCAAAATCCAGTTACCATGCACAGTAGTTTTGGTATTTGCAATTTTTAAAAAAATTATTCAATTGAGTTGTTAAAATCTTTCATTCTTTTTATTTTCCAAAAGTATTGGTTTGATTTTTTTTATTTGCCAGGCCTGATTCGAATTAATTTCATAGGTGGATTAAAATCTTAAATAAGTTGTAGCCCAATTCCAAAGTAAATAACAAAACTAAATCCACCAAATTGTCAATCTTGATTTGAAAATGATTTTCTCGTAGTTCACACTGATTTGATCACCATTTATCCAACAAATATTTTTCCCCAACACGAAAAGTAAAAAAAAAAAACTGAAAATAAATTCAGTGACTGAACCCAAGGTTCTTCCAAAACTGTGGACTTTACTAGAATAAACATCCACCAAATTTAAGCAAGCAATGGATGCATGAATAATAACTTTTCGTGGAAGAAAATGAGGTGGAAGAAAAATGTAAGGCAAAAAAAAGAAAAAAAGAGTATAACTCATATGCACTAGAACTTTGATTTGCCCAAAATAATCATCATTAGGACAAAACAAATACCCAAAGAAATCACCAAGAAAAAAGAAGAAGACGAAGAACATAATATGTACCAAAATAGCTAATTGGGGAAAAAAAAACTTCATTAGGGCAAAAACAAAATACTTAGAGAGATTGTTCTAGATTTCAAACTCTAAAACCCACAATAGAGAAACGGTTTGCTTGAGGTGCTGGAATTGCAATGGTTGCAGAGGATTTCGAATGGCATTAAATGCCAGCAGAGGGTCATCGAACTTTTCTTTTCTTGAACTTTTATGTGATGACCTAATGATGGAGAGAGAGACGTCCAAGAGGATAGAGAGAGAATTTGGTAAGAGGTTATGATGATGGACAAAGAGACGCCTAAGAGGATAGAGATTGAACTTGGAGGGAAATTGAAAATGGCAACCGAGGCTTTCCGTTTTCCACTTTCCCCTCTCTCCTTTCTTTTTTAAATATCCACGTCCATTTTATTGGACGGTGTAGAAGGTTGCAATCATAATTGTTGCAATAAGGTTGTAACCTTATTAAAACTTTTCCCTTATCAAATAGGATCACTTGGGTTGCGTCACAATCAAGATTTTTAAAAAAAAATTAGTCAAGTCAATAACACTTACAACCAACAGATTTAAAATCTGATCGACAAGAGTAATTGTAACCTCATCGTATGAAAAGTAAATAGCATATTTGTATAGTTTTCTTTTTTTATTATATAAGTATGTTCGATTTTAAAGATCTAACGTCATCATTTGAGTATTAACTTTAGGTCTTCAAGATTTTGAGACTAGCTCACACCTTAAAGCTCTAAAAGGAAACAATTTAGAAAAATGAAAAGAAAAGAATAAACATAATAAAAGTGAAAATCCAATATATTTTCTAAAAAGAAAAAGTTTACATAAAATTACAACTTTATTTAACCTTATATGTATGAATAAAGTTGCACTAATCTGCACCGTCTATTTTATTTAAACCATCTTAAAAGACGTGTTGTAGATTGACAATATTTTACGAGGGATACGGTTTGTATAGAGCCGAGGTACTAAACAATCAAAGTAAAGCACACCTTCACATAGTGTCGAAAAATGTGGTTTCATATTGAAAATCTTGTGATATCCTTAAAATATATTTTCACATCCAAGCTTCAAAAATGGTACGAGCAGATATATGAAAACTAGGGGTGAGAACGGGTTAGATCGGGGCTAGATCCGACCTGATCCTAATCCAAATCAAAATAGTATATATCAGATCCAGGTCGGATTTGGGTCCAAACCAGATTTTGAATATTCGGATCTAGATCTATATCTGAATAGTATACATCGGATCTGGATCTGTATCTAAATAGTGTACATCGGATCCTGATTACTCTATACATATACTTTTTTAAAAAAATTATATAATATAAAATAAAAATTTACTATCTAAAAAAATGGGTTGGATATGGATCTGGATCCTGGTCGGATCCACCTACACCTGAATATGATCTGAATTTCAATTCAGACCTGACTTTTGGGTCCAGATTGGATTTCGAATACAAATTTTGGGTCCATATCTAAATCCCAATAGGGTCTGAAATATGGGTTTCGGATCCGGATTGAGTCAATTCTTACCCTTAATGAAAACGTGAATATCTTAAAAATTGACAGTCCAAAATGCTTTACAAGATGCACTATTTTCAAAACTTGAAATCTATTTTTTTTTCCATGCATCTAGATGTCGAGATGATCAATATGAAGATATTTGGGCATCAAAATCACCTTTTTTAGTGAAATTTTTTAGGTGGACTCTAATTTGATTGTTTAGAGCCTCGGCTCTATTTAAACTTTTTCTTTCAAAAGATAGGTCCTGAAATAGATGTAGAATATCACAACCTCATTGGTAAAGCTAAGGTTGCAACCTTTATAATAGAAAGTTCACCATCAACTTTGGGGGAGGCGCTAGATTAGATTCCTGCGATTACTAATAAATAAAAAGAAATAGAAAAGTTCACTATCAACTTTCCGGTTAAGCCGGTCAAAAGACCCTGGGGAAGGTTCCTAACGGGGATATATGTGTTCTACCCGTTAAAGGGAGAAGCCTTGAACTGTTACGGGATCGACGGTCAGATGCCAAGGTTCCACGGGATCGACGGTCAGATGCCAACGTTCCACGTCTGGTAGGCATCTAAGGACCGCCCGTTTTGCCAATTTGTCAAAAGGGTGGACACTACCTGGTTTGCTTTCAGGACCATCCCTAACTTTGCAATAAATGACAGAAGCATCCTTTTGACTAATCACCCTCCATTACTCAAAATACTAAGTTTAGAGAAGCATGGATAAAAAAGGATCTATGATCCATCTGACCATCAAAGTTTGAATAGGAGATGTTGATTGATTTGAGAGAGTACCAGATCGGGTTCCTCAAGCTTCCACACACTCCATCACCGTCCATCCGTCAACTGGATGAAAAAGAGAATTTTATGGGATTGCGTACAATGAGACTATTTGCCATTAGTACGAGGAGGTTGATCAATCGATGTTAAATCTAATAGTTTGGGTATGTTATAAAAATTCAAATTTTTTTTTTTTGTATTTTCAGCTTTATCAATAAAATAAATGTAGCTACTCAATTTCAAATCCAGGGTCAAAATTAATTGTGACTACCTTGTACGGCAGATAAATAGTCTCATTGCATGCTTTTCCCAATTTCGAATCAACAAGAATTTTCAATCGTCACGTTAAAATGGTTTACTTTTTCAAAATCTCTTATTTAAAAATCATATTAAGAATCCCCGAGTCAGCTCAATCGGGACCTTAGCAATTTTGGAGTTGCCAAGAAATTGGGCGAGTCCCCCAATTATTGGGTCCTTGCTGGTATTTTCCCAAACAATCCACTGTATTGCGCCTCGGACCCGGCCTTTGACTCGGGACCCGGCAACTCCCAGCCGGAGTCCACATTTTCAAACAATGCTCACCAAAATGAATGTTAGAAGTGGAGAATGGTATACGTCAGAGGGATCATCAACTATTGTACCTCATCAAGATTGCACTTTCATGTATATTTATTTGTACGAGGTTGCATACATATAACATGGCGGATATACATCATAGACCCAAACACTTTATGGACAATTAGACAAGGAGCATGTGCATCACGCGTTCACCTGCATGTCAAGGAGCATGTGCATCATGTGTTCACCTGCATGTGTAATCGACTACTGTAAATGGTACTTCTATTTTACTTTTTATTTTTCCAAATACTGAGATGCCAGGGCGGTCCTCAGATACCAAGGCATGACAGGGTATAAATTTTGCAAGGGGTGTGTGATTAACACACATTGCCCTACATGCCTAACTTACCGACCAAGCGGCATTCAAAACTCTGTGTCTACTTGAATCTTAACCACCCTTCAAATATTGAAACGATTAATCTGGTCAATGAAGTCATAGTCATAGCTCAACCAATAGGTTTACGGATTGTTTGTTTGTGCCGCGATGAATAGTAAAGAATAAAACAGCTGCATATAAAGCCTTCACGAGCAACTTGCTCATAAAATAAAGTCCCTGAGAGCCTACTCAGGAACGGAGAACTTCAGCTTAAAAATAAACACATTTTGTGGTTCAGAAAATAAACATACTCCCAATAGAATAACAAAATGAGAGGCTTGTTGTTATCCATTAGCTCTTGACCGCAAATCACCAAGAAGACAATCCCTTGTGTTTCTAATAAATACTAATGATCCCCTTTCAGTTCACAAAAGTTTACCAACCATAGAAGCCCTTTTGTACATGTAATTAATTTGATAAAAAATTACATCAACCTGACTAGAATGAATGCAGGTGAGTTTTTCTTAAAGCCGATACATGTATCAAAAATGTAAATTACAACTTTTATCTGAATAAAGTGATATAAAAAAGAATAATGAAGAACAAATAATATGTGTTCATCATGTGTTTTGGCATGCCAAAATGGCATTATACACTTTCACTGTGTGATCAGGTTGTCTAGCAGCACAGAAATGTTTGTCATCTTCAAGCAATCACTTCAAGCTCAAACTCCAGACCTAAATTCAATTATGAAAACTGCATAAGAAAGCCAAATCATGGAAATGCAATCAGCCAAGAAGTTAGCAGAGCCAAAACACTTCATTCAGAGTCTTATCCCGCTAACCTTGATCAAGCTCAAGCACCTAGATGGTTCATCATAACTTCAAAGCTGCAAATTAGATTTCCCAACTTAATATTTAAGTACCGACAAGGCCCTTGTAGCGAGCATAGGTAACTATCAATGCGAAGAGTCCAACAGAAAAAAGCCCAGCCAGAACAACCACCTGATCAACAAATCAAAGGAAAAATTATCAGGGTAAAAAAGGAGATCATGTCAAGGAAACCGTGTATGAGATTTTTCATGTAAGAAAACCACTCACCCATTTAAACAGATATCCATGGTTAGTATTCCATGTATATGGAATGTTCATGCCAAATATTCCAGCAACCAAAGAATAGATTGAGAGACAAACGGTACCAGAGCTTAGGAAGAGTTCCAGCTGCCACAAACGAAGAAACAACATGAATAGAACCATCATCCTAATACAGGCCATTAATTACACATCTCTAACACAAGAAGTAAAAAGCATATGAAGAGTACTCCAAGTGAAACAAAAAAGCATTCTTTATCTGAGAAGGGCAGCACGGTACATTAATATTTCTACAGCATAATTCATGCTGCAGTAAATCAATCATGGCAAAATAATAAGATTGCAGACCCTAATAAGCATCCATGCAAGCAAAAAAAGACGGTGTAGTAGATTTCAAGTCATATATTATTCCTTATTACCTGAATCAGCTGATTTCGATGATTGTCAAGCTGCAGCAAACAACAGGAAAATTAATCTCATAAAGTGGAAACATAGATAAACCTTGCAAATCACTTATAGAAGGAAAATCCTTACACATCAGGCCACATGCAGACGTATAAAACTCTTAAAGGTACAAATGCTAACCTGAATATTGATGTAGTCCTCAGTGTCATCAATGTATTCACGTAGCTGGAACAAACATGGTCATGTCAAGACCAACATTATAAAAGTGGTAGGTCTTGAACAGATGATTGCAACAAAGATTTTACGTGCGTATGGTGTGTTTTGGCATGGAAAATAAACGTGTTATATCCACTATAGGAGAACCGTTAATCATGTTTACACATAAAAGTATTTGTGCAGCGTGCCTAGATAACATATCAAATTCCTCATAATAACAAAAGCACGAACAAACTCCTGGAATGGATTGGTTGATCTCTTTAACTTTCTATTAGTTTCCCATAGCTGAACATCTTTGCTACTGTTGGAATGATAATGCCATTTGAGTATATGAAAAACTATTTGAGTATGATGCAAGTGGAAACAGCTTTCTGGAATAAACATATGGGCAACAATTTTAACAAGAAGAAATGCCACTCAAGGCAGCATGTTAGAAGGAATCAAGGGAGATCATACTTCAACTTTCTCTAGTTTGAATCCTTGATATCCGTTGCAACAGCTTAAATGAATACCATCTACTTCAACAAATGGCATCCCACCAAGGCCATTTTAATAACTAATCAGTAAGTCAGGGTTCAAGAGATACCTACCGTGGTCAATTTATTTAATGTTCCATCAATTTGCATAAAATATGCCTGAAAAAGAAACAATGGATAAGATTACATATCTCATGAATTTTCCAGAAAAGGGTGAAAAAGAAAGAAACGTCGCAATATCACAAGGACAAGTGTTGTAACCTCTAACAACATTTCAAGCTCCTCAACATCATTCTCATTCCCATGAATGGTTGCAGCACTTGCCCTGCTAGCTCTAGATATTTTTGAACCTATAGTGGGAGAGGCGGGGTACCAATTTGGTACACCATAGCCACTAACAGGCGAAGAAGCACCAGCCAATTTCCTGGACAAGTAAAGGTCGGCCATATCATCATCATCATCCAAGAGTTGCTCCAGCTCATCCCTTACCTAAGAAGCATAAGAGCATCAGCGTAAAACATTTTTAAAAAGGAAGAGAAACTTAAAGTCAATACACAACATCAACATCCATCCTGTCATAATCAGGAATAAGATGGTCAAACATTCCTTGAGGAAAACAAGAGAATGCTAAGGTCATGCCAGATCATCAGTTCGCATGAGTCTCAGAGCTGAGAGCTATAAATTGTTCTCCTATTCATTAATTAATAGATGAACACATGTTGCAACCTAGAAAAGATATATAGCAACGAATCAAACATGTATATCTCATTGGGGACCAACAAAGAATGCAGAAACTGGTAAAGGGAATGGAACTTCTTCCCCCAATCCCAAAAAAGAAGGCAAAAAAGTTCAGTCAATAGTTCTAAAGAGTATCTTTTAGGGATGCTATCGTTTTGTCTCATACACATACACAAACGTGTTTGCCCACAACCACCCCAAACAAACACACACACACACACACACACACACACACGCATGCACACACACACACACAGAGGCACACAGACATGCACACACACACAAGCAGGAGGACACATATTATATATGATCGTTTTGTGGAAGAATGACATGCATAAACTCAAATTTTCAGATCCCAAGCTGCATCACCTTTTGCAATACAAATCATGGAGGGCTTTGGAGAATATACTAATAATTCTATATGAGCACTAGATTCGGAAGGCATTGAGCCCTGAGCAGCATGTGAGGGACACAATGCAAAGTGTTGATGTTTATAAAGCAGACTAGGCCCAGCTCAAATTTCCTTTCCATACAATTATCTCATCAAAACCAAGCAGAGATAATATAAACAGCACTAAAACTGCACACTTCGTGAAATTAGCAATGGATCAAGAAAGTAGCAATGTTTAAGGTCACAATGCAACTTCCCTGCTAACCTAGTTAAAGAGACAGGAAAAGAGATTGCCCATGCATAACAAAGCAACTAAAAAGATGATTATGATGTTCGGCAAGATTTTTCAGTCTGATAAACAAATATAAGACGATAAAATAGCATTATTGTCTACCAGAAGTTTTAGGGCGCTCAAATGTAGACAGTAATATGTCTAGCTACTGCTCTCTATGGTGTTCGACATGCATGCAGTCTAGCAAGGGAACACACACTCACAAGAAAGCATCTCCACCACCATCACTGAGAAAAATTATAGGCAGTTACTTCTCCAAAAGTGTGGTGTAAGGAGCAGATAGAATGTTCAACCCAAACTCAATAATTTCAGCAGAGACACTAGTGTTCAACCTAAATTATGTAAATAACTATTTTAAAAAATTGCTGCCATTCTTCTCAAGTGATCTCACTACCTCCTGCCAGAGTCGTTCAACTCGTGCCAGACTAAGCCAAATGGCTAAGAATGGACTAGAAGAGAGCATAATTATATGAGCTCCTCTGTATAGTTACATATCTGAAATAGAGAAGAAATATATTACTACATATATCAAATCTACATGAAGCTAAGTTTGCAAAAGCAGAAAAATGCAACCAGATAACTAGAGGTCACTATAGTTCAAGAGCTGACCAACCACGAGAAACACCTCAAAGGAACATAAAGAAAAAGACCCGAAACTGCAATCCCTCGCTATTAATAAGATTTATCGACACAAAATTTTCTATCAGATAAATTAGTTGAAGAGAAAAAATATGTATTTCCTTTTGGGTGGGTGTACTTCAATCAACAGTATACTGTTGGATATATGAGCTAGCGATAGCAATAACAAAACAAAACAAAAAAATACAAAATTAACTTCTGGACTACAAAGAGCAAAGAAACATACCTTTTGAACTCGCGCAGTTAACCTTGTCATTGCACTCTTCAATTTTCTCACACGGTCCAGATTACGACTGCTTATCTACACATCGAGACATCCATTCATTTTCAAAATTCTAAGTGGTATATCATGATATAGGAAAACATAATGTGAACTATCGCTGTGACCTATTATTTTGATAGTTACATATGACTCTAACTATCAAAAACAACACTACAATACCATTAAAATAGCCAAATGATAGATGTAAAACATGCACTTCAACTTGCACAGCCATGAATTTATTTCCCAGGCAAAGCGGATTTGACTACCTAATTCTAATCGAATCAGTACAACAAGGTCTGCCATAATCTGTGTTAGACGTGGAACTCAACTGGAACCACTCTAGACCAAGACTCTCAAGGCAGGCAGGGACAAACACCAACTCAAGAATCTGGATCTCAACTAGACACATATGATCCTAGAATCCTCTTCCCTTAGGACTACTAAAGGCCAGGCTATCCCTGGCTGAAGCCTAGCCCAACATTTCTTGCCAATGCCACGGCATGGCACAAAATATATCACTGATGCCTGAGCATGGCCCAATAATTAGTTTGGCCAGGGTCCGGAATTTAGATTTTCAGGCCAGGCTCGGGCAACCCATGCCCAGCCTTAAAATTGTTTGGAAATAGCGAGTGGCCCAACTCCTGTCCCCAGGCCTAAAGTGTGGCCCGCGGGCCATCCCAAGCCAGTTGGCAGCCCTAATTGCACTCAATAGGTCATGGAATAAAAACTTCCATAAGTTCCAGATTCTAAACTGAGATCACACAATTCTTGAAACTTTTGTAACCAAAGTTACTAACATGCTTGTGCATATAGAAGTAAGTTACACAACATCAACAACTGAATTTCATTCATAGATCACCAACTCCAAAAGGATACGACACTCAACCAACAATAACATAAGATAAATGATACTGGAAAGCAGGGAGAATTGACATGGTAAACTAACAAGGAAATGGATAAAATGGTTCAGTGAACATGTATTGTATAAATCGAAATCAGCACAATAGGTCATTTTAGAGCACCTAATTGTATAAAAAAATAGATAACAAATGCAAACACATCATCCATAGTTTTAGCAGGAGAAAATAATTTGGACCAGGACGTTCAGAGATTAAGACAGGAGGACATCGTCATGAGAAGGAAGGAACTGCTCTGAAGGGCACCATCCCTGACATTGACTGCGAGAGGGAAGCTGCTTTGAAGTGCTGGTAGGCTGAGCATGGACAGGGGAGCAGTGCTAGCACAGTCAGCTTATTAAAAAGGGCAGCTATATAGCTGCCCTTTTTAATAATGAGAAGGAAGGAACTGCTCGGAAGGGCACCATCCCTGACATTGACTGCGAGAGGGAAACTGCTTTGAAGTGCACCAAGGTTGAGCATGGACAGGGGAGCAGTGCCAGCACAGTCAGCTTATTAAAAAGGGCAACTATATAGCTCCTTAGGTCATCAAATAAGTTAGCATCTGAATCTGAAATAGGTCACAAAAAGGAATTGGAATTTTTTTACCTGCCAGAAATATGCTTTTCCTTTAGATTAATGAGCTAGGATTCAAACCATAGAACGTTCTTGCAGCCATTAAACCCCAGCCACAAAGTGACTAGGCCTCACTAGTGACAATATTCATATAGAAAGATCAATTTAGTAACTATAAAGGAAATTAGTGTTGTAAAAACAAGTCCGAGTCCCTTGGACCCAGCAAGGTGTGGGGTCCAAGTGAAAAACCTTGGGAACCAGAGGAGTCTCACTGACCCCCAAAGTTTCAAGACTCAGCCAAGTCATGGACAGATTCGCCGAGTCTGCCCTGCTAACTTGGACCTTGGCCCTACCCAATTCCAGCGCCAAGTCTTACAACATTGATGGAAATACAGGAAGATAAGCTTGAACTCCAACACATAGTATAAGAAATTTCAAACATGATAGGCATAACATTCTCCATGCAAATATATTTTGTTTCAACAAATGCATCATCATCGTCGTCCAAGCCTTTTCCCAACTTATTGGGCTCGGCTACATGAATCTTGGTCTACCATTCTGCTCTACTAAGGTCTATATCCTCAGCAACACCATAAGTCCTCATATCATTTCTCACTACTTGCAACCATTTCCTTTTGAGCCTACCCCTTGTCTTTTTTTAGCCTTCCACTTGAACTAAACTCGTCCATCCTAACAGGTGTTGTACTGGGTCTACGCAGCACATGGCCAGTCCACCTAAGTCTATTTTCTCTCACCTTATTGCTTATTGGTGCAACACTTAAATTCTCTTGAATGTATTCATTCCAAATTCTATCCATTCTTGTCATTTCCAACCATGTACTTATATTTTTTTTTTCTTTTATAGGAACTACTCACAAGTAATATTCATGGGTACTGTTCATAGGGGTAAATTTGTCATTACGAAATTTAAGTTTAAGTTAGGGAATTTAGTTTCAAGTTATGCTCAAGTTATAACCTTTTGATCCAAAGTTAATTGTATGGACAAATATTGTCCAAAACAATAATTTTCTATTATAAATAAATGTGTGGATGGGCTAAAGAAGCATTTGTGTATTTCTCTTTAAGAAAAAGAGGAGGACTTTGTCTTGTAAAAGAAACCTAAAGCTTGAGCCATAGGTGGGAGAAAGCCTTAGGATTTCTCCAAAATTGCTGGTGTTTGGTTTGTTTCTTGCTAATTTTATTGTTCCCTCAAATTCCCCTGCGTCACTCATCCATCTCAACATCCTCATCCAAAACAAGATTACACCAAAACAAGAAAGTTAATTCAACCAAAGAATCATATATAAGGCAAGGCATTCCTTCATTTCTATCAATTTAAATAATAGTAGAAATGCAAGAAATGACTTAACATACTAACCTTGGAGGTCAGTTCATCTAAAGCTGGATATGCAGCAGTCTCCAATTCTGTTGTACGTGCATCAAGGAAACTACATATGGCTTCTAAAGCTACTTCTAGAGCCCGAAATTCGAAAGGAGACTCTACAAATTCGAAGTGTCAAACAACATTATGCCACAGGTCCAAATAGAAAACAACCTGAAAACAATTTCAAGAAAAGAAGCCCTATTGCCCATATTTCTTCCATAAAAAAAGATATTTTTATTAGGACCTAATAACCGGAAAGAAAAAGTGAATCAGAGGATAAACAGAAATAGGAGAAAGCATCAATATTCAAGACATATTCTTTTTGGATTTTTGCCACTGCAAAGAACCGAAACTAAAACTTTAAAACTAGCCAAAATAGAAAATTCAAATAAAGACAAGGAACAAAGCTAGTATTTGGAATAAAACAGCTTCCCCAACCATCTTTTGAATATACTCATAAATTGCATACAACAACAAAACAAAGTTAATTTTCGGAAAAAGAAAATTAATAACAAGGCAAGGAACACACACCATCTTCATTGCCTGCTTCGGCATCATTCTGCCCATTTGACTGCTCCCTCCCATCTTCTGCTCGCCGTGCGAAATTCACTGGAGGCAAACGTCTGCGAAGCTCCTCAACTATAGGAATGACATTATCCTCCGTGGGATCCCGAAGCAACACCTAAACAAAAGAAAAGCAAAGAACAAAAACCAGTTTTGTATGTAAAGCTGCTCAGCCATTGTACGAGTCTACGACCAATTAATCACAATGTATGAGCTATATATTTCTGTTCTATATGTATGTGTCTAGTTTCCATAGAGGGATGTAATATCATATGAGTCTTCAATGGACATTTTCCAAATCTCAATGGATATTCTCCAAATGAATGAGAGTAATAACAATATCATGTGATTGTATCAATCTCCCTAAAAGAGAAAAATGATGTCTTTTCAAAGTTTTCTAAAGTAGCCTTGACAGTTGATTTGTTTCATCACCCTGCTCAAGCATAGCATTGTCTTCACTCTAGATACGACAAGAAAACAAACTCAGCACACGTAACCTTAACCACATCAATGGAAAAAGGAAAATTTATGATAGTGGTTAGAAGTTGATGCTAACAGAATGTCAACTACACTATTTAAGCTCCATGAAATACATGATTGAACTTTTCTGACAAAATAGAGTCACTTGTATAAGATTTATGGTCCCATGTATCATCGCTGACCAAAAAAGAGACAGAATTTTCTAATTCCAAAGATATCATTTGAATATTGCTGACAAACTACAACATATCCAGATTAAATTAAACCCTCATTAGGACTATCCATGGAGACCACAGGCTCACGACTTCATATATTAATTTGAGATATTATCACACAAGTAAATGCCTGAGATTAACAAGGAGTTTATTTGAATAGTTGTAATAAAATTTCTTCAGAATCATTTGTCATTCAGAATTGACAATTAGGTGGTCATTTGCAATTTTTCCAACAAATTGATCTCAATTTTCATAAATTGTTCCAATTATAATTCAGCAAACCTGATAATTCCCATATAATAAATTTGATGACCAGAAAGTCAAACCAAGTAACAAATAAATCTGGACCTCCTTCTATATTTAGAATCAAGTTATGGATCGTTTATGTAAAGTTTATCGAGTCACGTGATTGGGTGAGCTTTGGATATGTAAAATAATTCTAATCAGAGAAGTAGAAGTAAATTTTTCAGATTTTCACTTAGGGCTCATTGATTCACATAAAAACGTACATCTTTTCACATCTCATAAAGGTTTGCAATTAGCCGCTTCAACAAATGAAACCTAAACTCATTAACACCAAAAATATCAACTAAAATATATCATTAAATCCCTCAAGACGCTAACAAGAGATAAAAAAGAAAGGAGAATTACCTCCTCAGAAGTGATTATCGCCTTGATGTGCTGATCACATGATTAAACGATCATAAAACGCACCAATTCAACATAAATTAGAATCAAGTTGCACTTGTAAATTCATAAACTTGTAGATAAAATAAAATATACGACGTTTTAAACAATGCCAGAAGTTCAAACGTAACAATTAACATAATACCTCCAAGTTGAGAACAATGGCCCTTTCACGACCAAGAATTGTGGAAGGATAAGATAGAAGAGGATCGAGAATACGAAGATCTCGGGCATGAATCTGAACCCTATGCATAATGGCATATTTATCGGCATCAAGAACTGTTCCCTCACCAGTGGAATCAAGCAAAATCCAGCTTCTTGGGGCCGCCGCCTTCTTCTTCGTAGCATTCTGCACGTCCAAAATAGAAACACTTCCCTCTCTCGCCATGATGACCAGTTTTTCTATTCGCATAAGTGATTTCAAAACAGATTTCTGCAATCGAAACAATATTAGACTACATGATCTAGGGTTTCCAATTCCTGAAGGACCAACCAAAATCATAAAAACGGCCGAAAAATCGGGAGTTGAGGTCCAAAAAAGTGAAACTAATGAACCTTTATAGAGGGTGGAACAATCGGTAACCTAAAACTTGAATGGGAATGTGGTCTCTGGTTCCCAACTCCTGTAAAACCTGGAACAATCAAAGGCAAAGTAATGAGACCATAACCGTGAGAATACACTTAGAATCAAAGTATATAATTCATAAACGCCATGAAAATCCTCGAATTCGAGAAATTTATGAACTGAAATATATCTTACCAGAGGGAGAAAAGTAAAGTTGGGATTCACATTGTTAAAAAACACTTTTAATGTCGGGGCGCGCCCTGAAACCTCGGATTTAGGACATTCTTATATAGATTTTAATGGAGATCGCCATGACAGAGAAGAGAGATAAAGAGCAAGTATAATATTCCCTGATTTTGCTCTACGAAGGAGCATCCGTTTCAGCTTGCGAAGAGCCCATGAAATTTATTCCAATGCGTACGCCCTTGCTGTCGACATTAACTGAGATATAAATCCTGACGTCTATTTTATTCTGAGATGACGAAATTACCACCGGTAGTGGTGGGGAGGGATCGATAGCGAATCACGGAATTTCACCTTCTTGCTCCTCGCCACGTACTATCCATGAGTTCGACGCACCATGCACGTGTGTGTTGTTGCTAGTGAGAGATGGGAGAAGGAGATTCTAAGTTTAGGTTGCAAATTGGTTTTGAATGACGTAGATTTTAGGGTTATGTGTCATAATTGGATATAAAATATTTCATGAATGTAGAAAGAACGAGTGCAGTAGATATGAAGAGGTTGAGATTGAAGTGGCAAGACCATAAAGGTTTCAAATGAATCTATTCGAAATAATTTAGGTCTACCACCAATAAACGATAAGCAGATAAGTGGACTGGTCATGTATGAGACAGACCAAGTACAACAACGGTTAGGAGATAGAAGTTAGTTCAAATAACTTAAAAAACAAAAAGAGCCAAAAATGACGTGGATGAAAATAGTTCATGAAGATATAGGGATCTATGGTCTCATTAAAAGTATGACTTTTAATAGAACAAAATGGCAGACCATGATTCGTATCGCTGAATCAAATTAATTGATAAAAAACTATGATGATAATGAAAAAGAAAAGCGTTAGCCGTGTATTTAAAAAGAAAATTAATTTTACGCGTATGTTCCCTAATTTTACAATTGATAATAATGTCCAATGTATATTGAGATTAAAATATTTGAACTTAATATAAAAATTTACACGTTTATCATAAACTCGTTACAAATTGCTTTCCTTTTGCCTTATTTTGATTTTTAGAGCTATTTTAAGGTAAGCGACATGTTTCATTTCAAATTTAAATTAATAATTTTGCTCTCATATTGCATGCATCTCATTATAGATAAAGGTTTATACCGTGATAATAACAAGAGGCCCTACGAGACGGTGAGAAATTCATTTTACCGAGACATTCTTGGGGTTATTATTGGCAAGATATTTTAATGCTACAAATATATATAATTTCAATTTATTAGAGATAACCCTCACTATATTTTCCGAAAATTCATGACTGTGGCAGTCCATATAGATTAGTGGTCATAAATTTATGCTGTACGGTTTGGCCAACCTAGGAAATTCACAAACTTAAAAATCAACTTGATGTTAGTCAACCTTTCTTTAACAATAAGTAGTCGTTATTAATGAACCTTCTTTTTACGATAGAAAGCCCTCCCTATTATTAATGCCATAAGTAGTCATTATTAATGAACTTTTTTTACTATGGACAAAGCTTTCCATGTGACCCCAACCACATATAAATTATATATGACCCAATCTTTCAGTGGTATTTCAATCGATAGCTAGGATTGCTCATACCATAATGTTACATCAAAATATCATTTCATCTTTTTTTTCCATCCCACAAAATCTTTTGGCTGAAATTTGGGGCATCCCAACTCTTTTATGGGCACACCTAGCCAAAAAAAAATATGAAAAGAAAAAATTATCATAAAAAAAAAAAACCAAACGGCTCCTAAAAGTTTCATAGGTATTATGATAATTTCTCACCACAAGATATTTCATTATTATGTGTGCCCTTGTCAGATGTATGCATGCCCTAGATTTCGCTTCAAATTTATGGAATAAAGACTAAAAATAAAATACTTCGAGCCATTGGATCAAGATTTGACACTCGAGAGCCAACTTGATCTCAACCATCAGATCTGAGTAGATGCCTGACATGGCTTAAGTCACATGTCACAAGTTGGCTCTTGAGCGTCAAATATTGATCCAAAGTCTTGGAGTGTTTTATTTTTAATTTTTATTAAAGCTATCCTACTAACCAATAACGTAATCCAAAACTATAAATATTTGCTAATCTGGTTTGTTAATTTTCTTGGTAATCAGTATAAGATGTCTAAACCTACATATAGTCAAGCAAGATACTCAACCTAATGTCACCCCAACCTAATGTCCCGACTTGAGTAGTATACATTCCCTTATAATTTTTCTCACATCTCATATTCCAACACTCGAATGTCGACATAATTATATTGAATGTCTCACACAGAACTAGAAAAGACTCGACTTTTTCAAATGCTTCTATAAGTTTTTTTTTTTTTAGCATTGATTCCCAATTTAATTATTAAAATTTATATTTTTAAATATAAATTATAAGGAGAAACTATGATTTAAAGGGTTGAATCCACATACAAAATCATTGAAGTTATAATAACTGACATTTAAGGTGTTGTTTTTTATTTTCATTTTAACCCGAGTGCCGCCTCAAAAAAAATCTTTGAAGTTTATAAAATGCCTTTGTTCAAGGTTGGGAAGTCTACATTAGAGGTATTTTTAGTAATTTGACTCAAGAAAATACCCCTGAAAGATTATAAATAAGGATGAAACCCTGCATATTTTAGCTAAGTTCCTTATGAAAAAAATCTTAACCTTCTTTAAAGAACTAATAAGTTGGTTCTTTCATCTGATCTTGCCTGAAATACAACCAAAGGTTTATTGGCCTAATGCTTCTTTCATCTTATCTTGCCTGAAACCTTCGAGAAACATATCATAGCAAAATCGTTTGTCAAAATTCATAAAATCTCCTGCAAGGAAATGGGAAAAAGAAATCAACTATGCATAATGGAAAGGAAACATCAGTTCAAAATTTAAAAAATCTAAACTATATATAATCATATTTTTGGGTAATTGAGCAGTAGAATTTAATTTGGGACATTGTGCTGTGATGATCGAACTATATTTTCATCTTTTTTAAAAAAATAAACGTGTGGTGATCCAAAAGTTTAGATCAAGAAAAATAATTACTTGGTCATTTATCAAAATAAGCATGTATATTGTGTGCCCCCCATTATACGTGTTCATCAATATACATACCCAAAGAGGGAAAAAAGCATGATTCTTCCACGCATATTACAGAAAAACTAAATATTTGAAAACCTAATTCCAAATTGGAAAGATTTCATGCTCCTGCGGCTGCAAAATGCACATTTGCTTTCTTGGGTAAAAGCCAAGCTTAAGCAATGTTAAAACCCAAAATTTGGGGACATAGCTAATCAACTTAGTGATCAATCTAAAGAGTAAAAAATTTACATATGCACTCTAGAATCAAATTATGCCTTGGGATCAAAATAGACCATCTATAATTTGACAGCTTTTTAAAAAAAAATTACTAATCTAGTTATACAAAAGTGTATCTCAAAGTTTTAGATAAATTTTTTTTTTCTAAGTATTTATTTTTGTACAGGAGCAAATGTGCGATTTTCTCCCAATCACCACATATACCATCATATCTAAATTTCCATTTATTCAATAACCTTTCTTACCTATAGGACTGTCAACAGGCTGGCCCTGGGCCAAATGGTTCTGGCCCTAGCCCAGATCTAGCCCTATCAGGAACGGGTAAAATCAAATAAAACCAATGGAAAAAAAGATAAAAGAAATAAGGGAAGGGCCAGGCCCGGCCTCTCTTGCCTTGGTCTAGGCCCTAGTTCTTTAGGGGAAGGCGACCCAGCCCATTGCCACCCCTACTTACCTAGAGGATTTGTAAGGATTCTCTTGGAGTAGCGACGGCTTCCTTCCACTCAACTTGCTCCAAAGTTCCTCAATGGGGCAGCAATAGTATCCTTTTTATAGATTGATTGAGTGTTTGTTTTTTTTTTTTTCAACTCAGTGTAACGGAATTCAATAATATTTCATTGAGAACAGTCCTGAGAAATCAAGAAAAGAATAATTTTTTTATTAAATTGGCAATGTAGCAAGAGAGAGCCCATAGACTATGGATACTAGATATATATAAAAGTATCTTAGAATGTGCGTGTGAAAATATTTTAGAGTTTATGAAGTAGAGCATGGTGCGCTACATGGAACACTTGTGATCAACTCTGATTTCTTTTTTCTCCCACCATGCCAAGTTACAGGGCGATGCTACTTGGTGTAGTGTCCATACATGATACTGAATACCGGTTAAAAAAGTCAAACAATGATCCGGATCGTCCGTCTAGAAGATCTATCCAGTTCAATGGATTGGAGGTCGAGCCGAATGAACTGGCACATGAAAAACTAAAAAATTAAAAATTAAAGTGGGGTCAATTCTGATAGGTTCTCTAACAAAGTTACCCATTCTATAAAGAACAGCAAAAAACTGGTTAGTTCATATCGTGAACTAGGCCGGATCTCCCTATTTAGATCACCATTTTTTTACACCTTGATTACGACTAAATCACAATTCAAATGGTGCTCCAACATCTTCCATTATGGACCTATAAACACGCTCGTTTTAAACGAGGGAGCAAACGCACATTTTGCTCCTACGAGAGCATACAACTTTTTCAATCTGTTTTCGCGGTTAATTATGGTACGCACGGGCATTTTCCCTGATGGTGAGGCTAAATGTGACTGCGATAGTAGCACATTGGTGATGATACGGTACGAAGAGGGGTTTTCTCATCCGAGGGTATTTAGGTATGGGTGCGGTTTCAATAAAGGTTGCAATCTTAAACAATCCATTTAAGGCGCACCTCCAAATTTTATTATAACATGTAATTTTGGTGTAAAAAATTCATAAGATTATCTAAAAATGTATTTTCATATCTAATTATAAAATTTTAAACTTTAAAAATGTTTAAAATCATGTAGATCTATAAACATGTGAAAATCTTGAAAATAGACAGTCTAGATAATATATTGCAATATGCACTATTTTTAGGATTCAAAATCTTTTTTTTTTATACATTCGTACATCTCAATGTCGAGATGATCAATTAGATGGTCTTTCAATATTAAAACAACCTTTTATAATGGATTTTTTAGGTGAATTTGTACTTCTACATTTTAAGGTTGCAACCTTATATAAACTTTTCCGCTTTAGGTATTGATGTAAAATGTTGGATTGTTTATGTAGGGACACTGAACGTACGCCCTTTTACGGAATATGCGGGACCACATACAAAAAAAAAATGCTGGTCCAGAGTCCGCACCAAATTCACACCTGTGGTTTGGCACTGTAGGAAAGAATAAACGTGCCCCAAAAAACTTACTCGAGTGTAATGATTTCCAA